ATATATATATATATATTTATCTCATGTTTTTTTATAAAAAGGACACTCGATTAAATGATCACTCAAGCAGTTCCTAATTTTAAAATGGAATACTACTTAAAATTTTCATTTTATTTTCTGTCATCTTGTTACAACGAAATTCTAAAACATATCAGTACCATTGTTTCTGTAGTCCAGTAGACGTTTGTTGAACATCTGCAGGTACTTGGAATTTCTAGGAAACGCAAGACCATATCCTGTCATGGCGTACCAGGATCCTACGGTTAGTAACCGACAGTCTTCATCCTGTGCCACCAAATAGTCCAAAACCGTTCCATCGTAGATAAAAGCGTCCAGTTCCCTGTTGTAGAGGGAATACTGTTCCTCAGAAATCATTCGAGAAGAAAGAAGAATTCATTGGAAATTCTTTGGACGAACGAACAAAACGAAATCGTCACGGATTTCTCTAAAATTTTTACTTTAAAATCACGAAGTTCAGTTTTTTGTCAGTACTTTCTTGTTCATCAGTAAATACATTTGACTCAATCTTTCTACTGAAATATAGATTATTCGATGAATTGTAAATAAAGAACATTTTTCCACAGAGATTATAATGAATCATATAATCAGAAAAGTGTGAATCGATGGAAACTCTTGAAGAAAAAATTTAAAAACGTATAATGAAACTAAAAAGTAAAATAATAAGAAGTACTAACTTTATTTTCAAATGTTACTTTTAAAACACTGCATTTATAAATTTGGGTACTAAACATTTATTATTAAGCTTTATTGATATTCAATCGAACTACGTTTTTCATCCTCAACTTTCAGGGGTAATTTTGTTTCTTGAGTATGAATGATGGAGACTAAACAAAATAATACGCAACAAACATTTTTGTGAGAACTATTTTTTACCAATATCTTATAAAAATTGGCGGATATTACAAATTTTTCATTCGAACATGGATAAATTGGTTTTATCTTCTCAAGTTTTCTGGTAAAAGGTTTAACAAACGAAAATTCGATTTATAAATATTTTGAATAGTGATTGTAGAATTAATGATTCTACATAGATGAGTCTACCTATTGTACAAATTACAAATATAGTATAGTAACTGTAATAGAACCTTGATATCCAAATAAAAGTAATCTTCAACATCTATAATTCAAGGTTCTTCCGAATTCGAATTGTAGAAGTACAATACATACTAAATCTAACAAATAATTCAAGTCACGAACTTTTCATATTTCAAATTGTATAGGTTTCATACCGAACCACAGAGAAAACAATAAAAAAACTTTAACTTAGATATAAAAGTAAACTTCGATTTATAGAGGTTGGAATTCTTCCAAGTTTAAGTTGTACAGCTAAAGCACATACCAAGAAATAGAGGATTTTGTAACAAACCGAAAGGGAATGAAGGAACTTTACAAGTTATAGAGCTTCTCAAGTGATCGAGCTTCTACTGTATAAAATTTTCATTTTCGAACACTCGATATTACTCAAGCAATTACGGAGGCATTGTGCGTCAACGGATTTCACGCTAGTCGACCGCTAAGGAGGTAGTCCGCGGTTAATCGTCGCGATGAAAACGGGTCGAAGTTATTCGCAGATTAGCGCGAGGCATGTGCCGTTTCCGAAACTTCGGCACCGACTCATATACAGGGTGTCCCAAGTTTTAATGTTCAAACTTTATCAGTATATTCTACAGCACTATATTTTTTAAAAAGTTATAACATGAATGCGGAATATAAATAATATATAGTAACCGACTTGCTGTTAGTGCGAGCATTAGCTCGAATAGATTAATGTATTTACTACTTGACATCGTCACGTTCAGGGTTAATCAGCGCTTCATTTCAAAATGTCTACCGTTCTTGGTAATACATGATTGACAGCGATCAAAGATTAAATTTATAACTTTGCGAAATTCGTTTCTGTTCTGTTTGATTTAATCTTTTGTATTCATTCATTAACACAGCTTCCATAAGCACACTGAATGTAAATATTGCTAATCTATTCGGGCGAATGCTCGCAGTCACAGCAAGTCGGTTACTATTCCTACATTCCTTGTATTTCGTATTTTTGTTGCGATGATTATTTGAAAATTTTTCCATATTACAAGTAACACTACTTAATGCAGTGACATTCAACAAGATAAACCAGCAATAATAATAACGCAGTTCGATTACATAATTTGATATTCCATTATTTTCATTTTGTATATTTTTCTCGGAAAAATCGTAAAGCACTCGACGTGTTAACAAAACTCTATGCGAGCTATGTTTACATAATATTTATTTCTTATTTAGTGCCATAGAATATACTGACAAAGCCTGAATATTAAAACCTTAGACACCCTGTATGTGGGAACATTAAGCGGCGCGGTCGATCGTTGTTGAACTTTAACTACAACAGCCCGTAATTTCGGCGACTGCCGGCGGTATTATCGAGCTCAGTGGCCCGGGTATCGGGTGTCTCTACTTACCCGCTGATAACGGCTTCGATCCCCTCGCCTACGTTGCTTTTATTGAACGCCTTCATGTAAGAGTGCATCTCCTTGAAATATTTCGATAGAGTGCTCTCCGTATGGCTCCACGGCATCGTGCCGAATTTGTACATCGGCTTGTGCGACCAGGGCTTCGCTAAACGCGGATCGTCCAGGCCTTGGAATTCGTGGAACTCTTCCCTCGTGATCATGAAGGCAGCCAGATTGGCAGTGTAAATGGCGAGGAACACCACGGCGAATAACGCCCATACGTTCGTCATGAATCTGTGTAATTCAATTCCTTTTATAAGTCAAATGATAATGATGATGACTTGCAATGAAAGGTATCGTTGAGATACAAAAATTATAAAACTTTGTGGCTAAGTAGAGTATGTCAAGTTAACACATTGCAATTTTATTTTCGTGCTGAGTTTCACCTTTAAAGGATGAAACCACTCGTTGAAAAAAAAATTTTTTTCTTTCCCGTGGATTGTTTTAAGAATAAGTTTGAACTTTTTAAAAAATTGGTTTAATTTATTCTGATGTAAACAAAAGTTTCATTCGTCAGTTTGAAATTCTGCGTATCGTGGTAGTTGTGATTCAGAACCTGCATTATGATTAGCACTACAGCAGCGGCAATAGGATGCAAAGAGTTAATATCGGTAAGGCTTAAACTCGAATTGGGCGTGACAGCTACATCTCGCATAGAGTCGGAAGCACGCATCCAAATATCCATAGGAAATGGTGTTCGCGCAATATTAATCGGTCAATATCGACGGTTGCGCGTATTTACTGCGAAGGATTACGAACGGAATGCTGTTTCGCTCGTAAACCTCTGCGGTTCCTGAAATTATTATTCTCTGATGAGATATGGTCCTGTATTAAGAACACCCTGTCGGTGATTGGGCGGCGGCTGTTACACCGAACATTTCGCTGCGCGGTAGACTTCAGACCTTTATGCAAATTCAAGTTTTAAAGAGTATAATTAGTAAACTGTGGATTTTTATGTATTTACGGAAAATTTGTAAGTGAAACACAAAATACACAATACAGAAGGTATATAAAATATTCAAAATATTGTATATTCTACGAGTATTCGAAAGTAATTCAGGCTTTTTTAATTCGATTTTTAATATATTTCTATTTTTAATGATATTTTTAAAATTTGAATTTGCATTAAAATTCGCAGTTTAATACTAGCTGACTTTTTGATAATAGTTCTTAAGCTTTCCATATGTCTCGTTTAATAGTAAGAGGAATTTAGTAATTTAAATTTAACAATTCCCTAAAGTTTGACTTTAAGTTAACGTTTATGTTGTCATTAATTTAAATTTCAACAGAAAATTTATGTTATAATATATTAAGTGAAAGGAAGTAGAGAAAATCGAAATTAAAGATTTACGGTTGAACCATGAATACTTTAGGTACGTAAGTAATATTATTACGTATTTTTTTCCCATCGGAAATTACTCCACCGTTATAATATTTATCAGAATGCTACTGACGGCAGGTTAGAGGACGCACATAGTGGTGTGTAACATGTGCTACGAACGCAATGTGGGCAATATATATCTTTATATAGCCAGTGAATTTTAAATAACAGTTTGAGGTATTCACTTCAGTTAAGTCTTTAATCTGTTACATTATCCTGAGATTGTATTATATTGATAATTTCGATCAAATTAAACCTTCTCCAGGCATATCAAAGAACTTACACAACTTTGATTTTTAGTAATCAAAAGATTTCATACTAATTCTCTATGAAAAGAAAGTTAAAATTTCATAGCATTAAAAATTCTTTCACCAAGATGGAAAAACCAAATAAACACCTGAATTAAATTTGATTTTAGAGATATTTCAGAACAAGAATAACCTTCGGGTAGTTAAAAAAATTTAGTATAATTCAATATTTGGAACGTTCAAATGTCCATAACATCATACTACAGAGGGTATTTTAATTGATTTTAAAATCATAATTGTGTCATTACTAATACTCGTAGGTAAACATTCTTTAATAATAGTTGACTAGTTTCGAGAGGAATATATTATAGTTTTATTGCCTCGTTTATAAGTGAAGGCGTGAAGGTCATCTGAAGGTCAATTTTATTCTTTGAAATGGAATTCTATACATTTTTGTACCAGTCGGTGCAACTTGTTATTCTTTATAAAAAAAATATGAACCTATTTACATCAAAAGTTAATAGTTTAGGAGATATTTTAATTTAAATATTAAATCGTTACTCTTTAACTAATTTCAACTTTATTCCTAGACAAAGTTCGACACAGCCACTATTTAAATTACGATATTTTGTAAATCGTGAAAGAAACGTTGTCAAGATCAAGTGAACTATTCTGATATATAATCAAAATTAATTAGCCGGAAGAAAATGCAGTAAACGGTAATATTTACTGTTTATCAGTTTGAAAAGAAACCATGAGTAACTCATCGGAGTTGCGAGACTTATGTAAGTGAAACGTGAAACGAAACGAGCACATTTGAATTCACGTCTCGCCGCTCGAGAGGTAAAATGTACATTTTTCACGGATAATGTTGCGAGTAGATACAGTTTCTTGGCACAGACGGAAGTATTCTGCCGTGGGGAATATATTTCGTTCCGCGGGTCCGCACCATAATCTAAGATATTACTTTTTGATTTAAACGACTTCCTCTTACTACCATTCGTAAATTATTCTGCGTTGTGTATGCCAACTAGATGCATTACCGCCCACCGCGTCGTCGCATAAAATCCAATTAGCAAAATCACCACTGTATCTTTGGTTTAAACAGAAACATCACGCCACCACTTTGCTAGTGCGAACCGTATAATTTGTCAGCTTTATCGGAAAATTTTGTCGTTTGTAACGTTTTTAATTTCTTCATAATGAAATGGGTATTTCAACGTTGATCTGAAAATGTATCGAAACCTTTTGCGTACAAATATTTTCGTTGAAATACGAACCAAAAGAGGCCGAATTCTCCAATAAACTGGAAAATAATAATGAAAATGTTCTTTATTGGTATGAATGCGAAATTATCGAAAATAATTTTCATTTTGTTATTGGGCTGCAGTTGACTGAACGATAAATCAACGTATAGACACGTAATTTGCACATCAATGGGAAGTTTACAGCAATATAAACATTTTTACTGATTTGTGAATGAAGACAAATAAAGTTGTACAGTTTTTTTTTAATATGTAAACGTAAGTTTTCAATTTCTCAAGCAACTAGAATTATTTTCTTCATATTTCCAACCAACTAAAATGAATATTCACACTTTATGCGAGAAATTCTTCTTAACACGTTGATTGCTGCAGGGGTCACCGACGACCAGAGCTTCCAAATTACAAAAAAATAATTGGAACTTGTAAAATAATTGGTGCCAAATAAATATAATTAGTAGCGTAAATAACTAGATAACTGTGTACCGTAAGAAACGTGATATCAAATAATTATCTTTGCTATAGAAAGAATAAGTGATACATAGAACGCTGTTGTTCTTCGTGGCAATCTACGTTTCGAACACTTTACAAAAGATGCCAAACTTTATTACTAAACTATGAACAACATTTTCGAACTTCTCAATATACTGATAGTAGAAATAAATAAAAAATATACGGAAGTACCTTAAAGAAAAGACAATGCAGATGTCGATGCAGATGTTCTAAAATTAACATTAAATAAGTAAAGACGAAAATAAAAATAATACAAATATTGTCTTTCCGCAACGTTCAGTCACATTAAATTGTACATGTAGTAAGAAAAAAAGCAGTCAGAATTGTTTTGTTGCATTTTCTAAATTTCCCATAACTTTTTGATGCGATATTGTTCCTAAAAGCAGACGCATTAATCGGCTTCGATCGATCGACGATTCATAACAAAGAATTTAATTACGGTAGAATTTGTTTCACCGACCTGGCTGTAAATCCTCTGGGAGAATCGATATGGACGGCTGCCTGAAATAATACGGCCCAGACCAACCAGTATGTGCGACAGAAAGAGAAACGGTGGTTGGGCGACGGATTCTTCTGTAACCAATAGAAATACTCTTTGTTACCCGTTTATGGTTGTTAAACAAGCGAAGCGTAGCAACAACGATGCGATAATAACAGATCAATCAACACTGTCACGAGACACAGGGAGTGACAAAGGAGATGTCCTTTAACAATCACAGTAGAAACATTGGTAAATGGTTGCTTCTTACGGAGGTTAACCCTTTAGGTCCCAAATAAAAACTTTTGGAGAGAATACATTTATTTTCATAATATACGTTAATTAACTTATCATTTTTGTCAGCAATAAATATTTTCATAAAGAATGCAATTATTTTGCTGATATCGAAATATATGATTTCAAGGTAATGCCATCAGGAACTAAAAGGTTAAACAATTGAAGGGTTTACTGTAAGAACGAGGCAGCTCCACTTTCAGATTATGTAAGTAAATCAACGAAAATCAATCAAAAAGCAGGTATTGTTTCAAATGCACTGTAACTTTATGATCAACTAATATTTGTGTTAATAAATGTTTACATTGAACAAGGAACCCATATAGTTCTTGTTATTTCAATAAACACAATTTCAATATTCGAGCTGCCTTTTTGTCTCAAAGTAGAAAAAGAAGTAGCAAATATCAGTTATAGAAACGAAATTTTAAATGAGAGTATATTTTATCATAATGTTAATTATGATAAAATTTAAAATTAAAATTATTAAAACGTTAAAAATGTTCATGCTTTAATAAAATATGATTTATGGCGTGAAATCATTTTTAAATACTTAAAGAAAGAAAATAATCAGTGTAAAACATATAACTATATGAAAGTAAGATTGATGTATGTAATTGATTAATAATAACAATAATAATAAATTGCCTGAAGCTAATTTCTTTTTGTACCATATGAAAGATCACATTTATAAAAGTGAAATTACATACTTAACAAAAAATATGTGGAAAATGAAGCTGCCTCCTTTTTGCAGTAAACCCTGCAATTGTAGAGGTTGCATGAGAAATCGTGATACATTGATTTTTCTCTACACCTGTAATATGATATCCTAGACATTACTACTTCTTTCTATTAATTAAGCCTCCTATTTCCAAACCAATGAGAAAATTTAATTATTGGTGTAAAGAAATTTTTGGATTAATCTACTTTCGCAGACTTTTTATTTATAATCCTTTGATAGAGATCAATTATTATAAATAATATTATTATATGTGAGTTGATTGAGTTCATATTATATTATTATAATATTATAATATTATTTACAACGCCGTACTTATAATTGTTTTAGTAAGTTTGAAAGAATTTAATCAAGGAAGTAAATATGATTAATCATAAATCGTGGTATTTGTTTCATTAAATCGAATAATGTTCTTACACACCTTATTTTTTGCATTTACGTTATAAATATTAATCGCATTTTAATCATACTCGTATAAATAATCATAAAAGCTATTATAAAATTGTGTTGAAATAAAAACACGATACTGTAACTAACAACTTTCAGCGTATAATAATAAATAAAATGTATCATCTAAAAAATATGAATTAATAAATCAATTAAGTTACTTTTGCACATGTATTACGACAGAGATATACAAGTCCACGTAAACTGTTAAGAGGGTATAAAGGAATACCAATACGAAGAATCCATGAAACATTCAACTGGGTCAAGTATTATAGAATTCATAAAGTCATCAAGCAAAAGCTTCGGTCGTGATATTCCATGCAACATAATTCACAGAAATCAAATTAAAGGGAAAAGTTCTCCAATCCAAAAAAGTTCATGCTACAATGGAAAAGAATATTTTTCCCAAGTAAAAACAACGAAACGATACAGCTAACGTTAATGTGCATAATAGGTAGTAGAACGGGACGCTGTCCTTTTATAATTTGTCACTCTTCTCTGCTACAGTGTCGGAATGTGAGATATCATTAAGATTAACGACGTTGTCCAGTGTGTAATTTGTTCAATGAGGAATCGGTGCTGGTAGGTGAAAAAGAAAACACCATACACAAGTAATAAGAAGCGAAATTAATAGTACCAGCCTCCGCGCAGCGCCTGAAGGGTTTACCTTCATGTTGAAACCGGATGGTGACAGCCATTCGAAGAAGAGAATCATTATGGTGGCCGCGTGGATGGCGACGATGCCCACTAACATCCATGACGCAGTGTCGAACGGTTCTGAAAGGTAACAGAAATATTCAATCGTAATAAACGAAAGTAGACGTACTAAATTTTTCATAATTTCTGTTGTCACTTATTATTTTCTATTCTAAAATTGTACTTCCGAATCATATCTTCTAGCCTATTGGAGAACATACTAATTCGAAGCAAATTTTTTGATGAAAATAATAAACTATTTTGTAAATTCTTATGAAATATACTAAATGCAGTTTTATAATATTTCTAAAAGTAATAACGTATGTGTAATTTCGTGTAGCTAAACGTGGATTCGTCCGTTGACGCGTTTCGCTTTATTCGTATGAGTGCCCGCCAAATTAATTTTGGGCACCTGGATCCGGTGGTGAAGCAGTGGTGCGAATATCTTGCGATGGCTCGACCGATGGAGCAAGACGA